AGCCATAAAAGTTTAAATTGCAGTGTCAAATAATCTGTGTCAAACTGCAACAGTTTGACACAATAATTATTCAATATTATTCAATAAAGAACATTAAAATATTCCTGTTTTATTATTATTTTATTTATTTATTTATTTGTTCAAAATATCATTTTTTTCCCTCCAACGCTACACTGAAAATAAATAGTAAATGTTTCCAAAGATACAGGATTTGTTCAGAAGTGAATTAATTTTCTCCCATGTTACGGATGCGCAGCAGATCATTTCAAACAGCTGAAATATGTGGTTCCTTTCAGGTAGCTTTGGCAATTAAAGAGCAAATGTTTTCAAATCCTCAAGAACAGTTGTGTGTGATTTTATGATTGAGCGACCTAAATCTGGAAATGATTGATTAATCCCTGTCCAATGGCATCCAAAAAGCTTTGTTTCTCTCATTTTAAAAGACAAGAACTATGTCAGCTTAAATCTCAGAATAATAGAGAAATATTTGAAGGTATTTAACATAATTGTTCGAACATATTATTACTGGCATTCACTATCAAATTTTTTTAATTAAAATATATTTTTTCCAGTTATATGTGTCAAATTTTACATTGAACCTGAATTTGCCAGAAACCTGTGTAAAAAGAGCCCCACAAGACTTAGTTATTTATTTAAGAGTTTGGGCGTTTTTGTTTTGAACCGCAGGTGTCAATTAACCTGAAAGTTACAGTTTTGACAAGATTATGTGAGTCATCTGACCGAGAGAAATCGAGTTTAGGGAGGTTAGGGGATAGATTTCCAAGGGGGGATAGATTTTCGCAGAACACCGGAACGTTTAAATGTGTGTTTTAAGTCCGGTCAGTAATACCGAGCGTACACATGAAGTTGTTGTTGTAGCAACGGTTGTTAGCGTCGGCGTAGCAAACACCCGAAAGAATTAAGTGAGCTCCTTTCGAAAACGAAGGATATTGTAACCAGAACTTCATATCTCCGAGATGTAAACCAAATATAGCTATTGTTTGTGTAACCACAAGAGCTTAAACTAATAATTTACTTACTTATTAAATGTTAGCAACTCATTTTAGCAATGTGCTAATGTAGCTTTACGGCATTCCACAGTTTTTAGTAACTTTAGCTTCGGCTTTCGGGCGCCAGTAAGTATTTATTGCTTCGCTGTTCGTCTTTACTCCGTACAACTTGAAGCCAACAGTGCTAGTATGTCGGCTGTCAGCAGTCTTGTCCCTGCCCGGTTTCTCACCCTCATAGCTCACCTTGTCATCGTTATCACCATCTTTTGGTCAAGGGTTAGTAAAAAACCTTTTTGTTGTTGTTGTTGTTTTTATTTAAGATATAAACCCAACAAAAACAAACACATAAAGCAGAATTAAGCTGTAGAGAATGAAACACTAAATGTCTTTTATGTCTGATTTCAAAACAGGGTATGAAGGATGTTTGAAATATAGAGGCACATTAACTTAATCCTCCCATTGTATTAACTACTTTTTTAGAAATGTTTATTTAGTTTTTAGACAAGGCAAGTTTATTACTAAAGCACAATTCAGCAATTTGTCAATTCGACATACTTTTATTTTAACGTCTTCCTTGCAGGAAAATAATGTGAAAGCTTGTTTACCTTTGGATTTTACCCAAGAGCAGTATGACAGTGAAGACAAAAAGTAAGTAAAAGTCAAACAAATTTTACACATTAAATACACATCTTTTAATATATTCCTTTTTTTCAGGTTGTTGGTGGGCCTGGGAATCACCCTCGGTCTGTTTGCAATAGAGCTGACTGGTTTCTTTTCCGGAGTGTCCATGTTTAACTCCAGCCAAAGTCTTCTTTGTATCCTTTACTTTGATAGTTGGCGCGACTTTTACCTTTATTGTAGTTGTAAAACTCATACTCATAAGTCAATATATTTTTGGATTAAAGTCTCTTTTGTTAGTTGCTCTAATTTCTCAACAACCTTCAGCCTGCCACAGTTTGTGATTATCAGTGACTTTAGAAAATTTTCTGTAGGGTTAATGTAGAACTAGCAGGGATACAATAAAAAAAAGTGTCTCCTTAGAAATAAAGCACAACAAATACAGCTTTAAAGATTTTTCAGTTATTTTATGAACAGGTTAAAATCCATGACTATCATCTTGCTTCTGTTTAACGTTTGTCTACAATAGCAACAGGAGTCCATGCCAGTGCCTCAGTGGCTCTGCTTTTCTTTCAATTTGAGCAGTGGAATTGTGAGATCTACTGGTGGATCCTTGCCATTTGCAGGTTAGTGTGTCAGATGTATGTTTGAAGGAGAGTTTTTCCCTGACACGTTTCCCCCAAGCACTGGCTGCCCATTGCTGTGCATCTGTGTCCTTGTCCTTCTTTGTGTTTGAAAAGTGGGAATGCTGGACTTATTGGGTGATCTTTGCCTGCTGCAGGTTGGTGTGGCTTTGAGTTGTAGTAACAAAGGTTCAGTTTTGAGTCTAATTTTGAACGACTGAAACTCCGGTGGCTCTCCAGTGGACTTGCCTTACATTGCCTGTCTTTGTTTGCAGTGTCGTACCGGCCTTCTATCGTAGCCTTCTGTTTGTAGCAGTCGTTGGACTGAAGAAGAAACCCTTATAAAAATGTGTTTGTGACATTGAAAAAGTAACATTAGTGTGGGAATAGACAAGTTTCGGTGTAAGAACAGTTGCAGTTGGCAGATGATATATAATTGATATAAAGAATAATGGTTGACAAAAATGAATTTAACTCATGTTAAAATCACTGCTCTTAGCAAACTGTAGTAGGTTACATTACAGGAGCTGTTTTTGTACATATTTTGTATATTTTGAATAAAATTGGAAACAACAGGAGGTTCAAACCCAACTCGTTCATTTTTAGCTTGCAGAAAAACGCAAAGCCGTGAAATAAATAAAAGCAAACTGACAAATAAGACTTGGGCTTTGGGTTCCCCACCTCACGCATCAGACTGACAGCTGTGTGTAGGCCTATAATATGTTTTGACACAAAATATATTTTATTTTCCACCATTTGCTAATGAACAGATGGTTAGATAATAAAACTATAACTCTTCTTTTTTATTTAAAGGAAAATTTCAAGGTACTCAGTACAGCTGCAGGTGTTACTGCAACAATCCATCAGTTTGCTTTTGTTTATTTCAGTCACTTGTGGCCAGTTTAGAATCACAGAGAAAAACTCCAAAAGGGAATCAAACTTAAAACTCAGTGAGCTAAAAACTTCTAATCACATAATAGCAATTAACCATAGCTGCCATGGTAAATTATTACTGATAACGATTGTGAGTGGTCCTGACATTAATATGATCAGGCAGTATTATCATATATAATATATATATATATATATATATATATATATATATATATATATATATATATATCTATATATATATATATATATATATATATATATATACACACACACACTTATAAAGACTATCAAACAAGTGCCCTTGTTGCTCTGTACCTGTGAAGTAGCTCCCAGTCTCAAAAAGGTTGGTGACCCCTGGATTAGATCATCATTTCAAACTCTTCTAAAAATTATTTTACTTTACACTGAGCAGAGAGCCTTGAAAATAATTCCAGTTTTATAAAACCGTGGTTTTATTTTTCAGAAAGGGTTTGATTTGTATTCATGAGCGGTTAAAATATGAATCAGACTGGGGCACCACTAATAAGATGACTAATAATATCCTATAAACTGTTACAGAGGCAGATGGTATTTTTTCATGCTTTGTAATGCAGAACAATTGCGATTTACTTTAAAGTATTTAAAGAGTTTTTACATTTTACATAGTTTATAAAATGACAGGTTTCATGTGTAGTACTAACATGTTTAAAGGAAATAAAGTGTGATAAAACATGACTAAGTACATATATCCATCACTGGGAGTAATATTGCATAACTAGAGATGCACCAATCAATCAGCCTGATCATTTTTAACTTTGATCCGTAACTGGAGTCCAATATTTTACAAGCACAAAGATGTGATGTGTTTATAAAAGGATTTTGAGTTTAATGATCAGATAAGTGTTTAGGTCTGGTGTGTAAATTATTTTGTTCTTGCTACAGTATGTTTTCACTTTATGAGCTTGTTGAGAAGAAATGAAAGTTATATTAATTTTTTCAAAATGCATATTTGCTATTTTTCATCTGATCACCAATAATTAACGGCGACTAGATCTGCTGGGACGTGTCAAAGTAGACGCTGCTGGAGTCATTTTCACTTATGGACGTTAAATCTCCTTCACTTCCATGTTTGCATCCTGGAAGGAAACCATTCCCTATAAATCTTTATTTACTCCTCAGAGACGAACCAAACTCCCGTTTCTCCTTTAAGGTTGAGGCTGAAGGAGTGAAATGAGATTCAGCCTTAATCCCATCAAGCAGTGCTCTAATTAATCACGTGATGATGAGCTTTTATCTGCAGTGTTGGAGCTTTGGCTGTTTAATCATATATGCTAATAATGCAGGAGAAGCAGAAGCGTGCAGACCTTCACTCACGCCATCGTCATATGAGATGATTTTTGTCTTTAGAAAGACGCACAAATCAGAACCAGATCAGGGATCCGATGAATCCCCCATGTAGCTTATTGCCTCATAAACTTGGAATGATAATTGCATTATTACACTCTGTTTAACCAGCCAGTCCTTTGAAATTCACCAGGTGCCAGGATGCACAAAGTCATCTTACTTCCTTACATACTTGACATCTGAGGAATGATCGTCGATTTTTTTCGCCAACTTATTTTACATCATGTTTTTGTGATGGTAGAAAAAAGTTTCACTTTGGAAGCATTTAGGATTTGCATTTCAGCAATTTCATACATATTCTGTGAGTGAGTTAAATGTCAAACGTTTAATGGAGCATTAATTATTGTCGTTGCCAGTAATAGAAATTTGCCAATTTTCGCCTCGATCAGCATTGATAGATAAGTTGGATGCATAAAAACCAGCATACTTTTAGATCTAGTTAAGAAAATCCAGATGAAACATGCAGGAACCCATTCCCTGCTTTTATGCGTAAACAGGGATCATCTTGCATCTCTGATTGCGAAATTAAAATCCAGGTTCAGCTGAATGTGTTTATTGACCAGCAGACAACCCATTTAAGTTTCGAGTTTTTTTATTTTTATATCTGAGCAAGAATTTAGATTGAGTTACAGACAAATAAGTATAAAAACGTCATTAAGAATTTAAAGGAAAGTTGTCTGTGACATCATAATAACATGAACAGGCTGTGATGTCACATACTGCTTTGTTGTGTAACACGGGTATAAATAACTCCGCTTGGTAACATTCTGCCAGGTTCCACGGTATTTCAAGAAGAGTAGGCATCAAGTTCAATTCAGAAGAAACATGGAGTTATTGAGGAGAGACGTGCAATTGTTAGTGGATGGACACGCCATATCTGCTATCAGTGAATACATCGATCAGACACATGAAGACGACTGGCTGGATCAACAATTTCTGGACCTGGATAAGGTATCGAAGAGAGGACGAGATACCTTTTAAGTTATTTAAAATGTTTTCTCCGGTTTTGTCAGGGACGTTTCTGAGAACCTGAACTACGAGTATGGCGATATAAAAGTCATGTTCGGAGATCAGGTCTCTCAGGCCTTTGCCCGGGCGATGGGAGTCGACGAAGTCGTCCAGGGAGACTGTGCTCAGGTGCTTGACGTCCTCTTCCTGAAGCACATAACATCTATGTCTCCCATGGACGATGAAGACCCCTTGTCGATTCTGAGGCCGGGCTTAGGTCTCAGTTCTTTGGCGCGAGCTGTCATCAGTTTAGTCCATGAACTGATGACAGCAAGGAGACGCGCCGAAGGACTGGGCGTCCCTAGAGGAACAGAGACAGGACACAGTGCGACTTTTTGTAAAGTCGTTGCTGTGTCTGGGCATCAGGGAGTCAAAGACACGGAGGTGTCTTGATTCCCTGATGGAGGCACAGGAGCGCATAGTTCATCATATCTGCGCTGACATCGAGAGCCATCCGGTGGAAATCCAGGCGGACTGGGTCCCTGGGCTTGTGAAAAAGGTTTTCAGGGACCTCAGAGAAACCTTTGGATGTTCTGCCGGATGGGCTCTGGGCTTTATGGAGCACGAGATCGTCGACGACACAATTGTGTCGTCTCTTTTAACCCGGATTGAAAAGCACCAGAAGAAGAGGGGCAGTTTTTTCTCAAAACTTTCTTCTGGTGCCAACATCTTCAAGAGGTATTTTATCAAATGAAATGCCTCTTGAAGATGTCAATCTCGGCTGTCGATCTCGGCTCCATGACGCCCCCCTGTGCCTCCGCCTCTCTGTTCCTGTCGGTCCTGGTATCGAGTCCTCTCTTCGTGCCTCCGTCGGTCCCAACCCCAAAAAGCCTCCGATAATTACCTTAACAATTATTTTCAGTCATATTTGATCACTTTAAATGTTACTTAAAAAGGGATGCATAGTTGGTACCACTTTTGCCTTGCAGTTTGATGGTACTGGGTTCAATTCTCGGCCAGGGGTCTTTCTGCATGGAGTTTGCATCATCTCCCTGTGCATGGTGGGTTCTCTCCGGGTACTCCGGCTTCCTCCCACAGAGTCCAAAAGTATGACTGTTAAGTGGTTCTCTAAATTATCCTTAATGAGTGTGTGCGTGTGTCTGTTTCCCTGCAATGGACTTGTGACCTGTCCAGGGTGGCCCAGCCTCTGACTTGTTGACCGCTGGAGATAGGTACCAGCACACTTCCTGACCCCATACTAGGCCGTAAGAACATGGATGGATGGATTATTTCCAATCATATTCTATAAATTTTAATGTTACTTAAACAGAGAGTCAAACTGAATTGAGCAAGACACAAAGAAAAATCAGAAATCGGTATTAGTGCAGCAGTCTTATTACGCCTATTCTTTGTTTTTTTTTTTGTTTGTTTTTTTTTTTAGCTTTAAGTCACCGATTACTATAAAGGTGTGATAAAATAAATGGACCACGTTGGTCTAACTTGATCCTACGCTGTGATTTTCCGTAAAAGTTGCAACATCAGATTTAACTTTAGGACGCAGCAGTGATTTCACTCGGAGCGCCGCTGAGCACGGTTCCTGAGCTCATCCTGTGTTTTCCGCTAATCCGTTTCCAATGCTGTGCCGCCCGAGGGCTCAGAGACCAAAACCCATTCCCGGCTGATTTCCAGGCTTTTCTGGCTTCGCTTCCATGTCTTTATTATTTAGGATTATCTGGAGAAAAAAAAGTCCGCTGCTCTTGGTTTAGGTTTGTGCTAATTTTTGCGC